GGAGACCCTGTGGGGCAGTTCCACTCTGTCCTCTAGGGGCGCTGTGGGTCGGAATGGACTCCACGGCAGTGGGTGTGGTTTGGGCTTTGCTTCCGTGGCGACTGACAGCCTTGGAGACCCTGTGGCAGTTCCAGTCTGTCCTCTCCGGGCGCTGTGAGTCAGAATCGACTCCAGGCAGGAATGTTTGGGTGAAATAAAGACAAAAGTGCCACAGAAAGGAGAAGGTGATACCATGACCTCTGACCTCTGGCGAGGGGGTGCTGGGCATACCTGGAGAAACTCCCGGGACTGCCGCTGGAATTCAGGGGAGTCGTGCTGGCCCACGATCACCAGCGTGCGGAGGGCGGCTGCGGGTGGCACCCGGGCTGCCTGCAGACGCAGCTGTGGGCTGTTCCTCTGAGCATCCTCCCTGGTGAGGGGGCGGGACCAGCACAGGGGTCAACGCCCGAGGAGGGCTGGCCTCACCCTGGCCCTCCTGCAGGCTCTGGGGCCGCTGGTGGGGCGACGGTGGGACAGCAACTCACAGTGTCAGGAGGAGAGCGTCGTTCTCGGAGGTGTGCAGGATGGGCTCCAGGTCGTAGATCCCGCTGAGCAGGAACAAGCCTGGGACGGCGCAGAACAGTCACAGGGTCAGGCTGAAGGCGTCACCACTCCAACCAGATTGGCTCTCCCCAGGCACCAAGCTGGTCTGCCACCAGGTGTATAAATGGAGCCAGGGGCCAGAGGGGGCAAGCCGGGGGTAGGGGCCAGAGACTGCGTGAGGGGGCTCACAGGTCCCCAGGTCAGCCCCCCCATCGCTGTTTGAGACCCCTAGCAGCTGGCTTAGGCCCTCAGGGGCATAGGGAAGGGGAGAGCTGCAGCCCCGAGGAAACCTTTGAGGTTGGGTACAACTCTGTGCTCGGTCCAGTTGGTCAGGAGCATCATGGCGGCCAGGTGGGCCCCCGCCGAGTGTCCACACAGGTAAATCCCCCTGGGACGGGCCAGAGAAGGGGAAGCGGCTGAAACCAGACCTCTGCTCCTTCAGGGCAGGTTTGCACTTGGCCCCCCAGAAGCAGCAGGCCAGGGCTGAGCACCCGGTTTGCCATCTGCAGGGGCAGAGGGGGCAGCCGGGCTTCACTCAAGATGCCACACCCACTGTCCACCCACCCAGCGCCAGACCCTAAGAGGAACTCTCAGCAGATGCCCACTGGTTGCTAGGATACTGCTTCTGGAGAAAGGCAACACTCCGGGTCACCTGGTCTATCATCAGGTCCAGGGTTCCTGCACAGAGCACATGCTGGGTCAGGGGCCAGCGGGGGGGAGGGGCGTCTCCCCTCCAAAGTGACCCTCCTTACCTCTGGGTGCAATGTCGTAACCCACAACCGCCACAGCCATGCCCTGTGTGGTCAGAGGGTCCACCATGAAGGCTGATGTGTTTTTACTGTGGAAAGAGACTTGGAGGTGATATCAGGAGGCGACGTGGCCACTGAGCTGCTGCCACTGGGTCCTGGACACACCCCAGGCCAGCTGTCCTGTCCACCCAGACCATCAGCCAGCTCTAACCCGTGGGCATCAGGAAAGGGCAGGCTCAAGCATCCGGCTCCCGGCTCAAGTCCTTGCCACAGCATTGTGGCACTGGGACCCTGGGGCCCACCTTAGTTCTCTAGTGCTGCTGTAAGAGAAATACCACAAGGAGGTGGCTTTGTTCAACAGAAATTCATTTTCTCACAGTTTAGGAGGCAACAAGTCCAAATTCAGGGCACCAGCTCTAGGGGCAGGCTTTCTCTCTGTGGGCTCTGGGGTCAGGCCCTTGTCTCCGTTCAGCATCTGTGGGCCCAGCATTCCTTGGAGATCTCCATGTGTCTTAGCATCAGTCTTCCCCTGGGTCTAGGAGGTTCTCAGCACAGGGACCCCGGGTCCAAAGGACATGGCTCTTCTTTCCTGGTGGCACTGAGGTCCCTCCCTGTCTGCCTGCTTCTCTCTCATCTCTTATAAAATGAGAGTTTCCCCAGGGAAACTCCCCTTACCCTCGATCAGGGATGTGACCCAAGTAAGGGTGGTGACTTAAGTAAGGGGGACGCATCCTGCATGACCCTGCCTCACTGAGCACAGGCAGAGCTCAGGATGCATGACACATCCAAAACTGGAGGAGCATCACACCACACCAGGAATCACGGCCTGGCCAAACTGACTCATATTCTGGGGGGACATAGTTTGATCCATTATAAGGACATCATTTGACCTCGAAGCCTGTTTTCTTGTCTGTAAAATGAGACAGTTAATGCTTCCTCTCTCATGGTGCTGTTGAGGACTCATGGAGATCAGACATGTAGAGACTGTCACCTCGGGCAAGGGTGTCATAAATGTCACCGTGAAGATGGCTGTGTTTGATAGAGGAACATCCTGTAACAGACGACTTCATGGTGAGTGCCTGGGGAGTGAGTGTCCTGAAAGATCCCAGGGACCCTCTCCCTCCCGTAGGGTGACCACCTGCCACATGTGCATGGGAATCTCCCTTTCTCTCACACTGAAAGGCCCACGTCCTGGGAAACCCTTCGGTCGGGCAAACTGGGATGGTCGCTTGGGCTTTCCCGTTGACGTGGATGCCGTGGGCTGAACTGTGTGCCCTCTAAGTTATATCCATGTCCTAACCCCCACGATTCTGAGTAAACCACGACCTTATTTGAAACAAAAACCAGGGTCTCTGCAGATGCACTAATGAACTCATCTTGGATTTGGGGTGGGCCCTAAATCCAGTGACAGACTCCCTTAGACAAGGAAGGACAGGGATCTGAGACAGAGGCGCCTGAAGCAGCAGATGAGGCAGAGACAGGGCCGCCACCATGAGCCTGGGGGCCTCTGGAGCCTCCAGAAGCCAGAAGAGGCAGGGAAGGCTCCTTCGGGGGGGCACAGCCCTACGGACAGCTTGCTCCTGGACTTGCAGCCTCCGGAGCCGTGACAGGACAAACCCACCCCCCGGGGAAAGATGACTCCCCTTTTTCTCCGCTTGTGCAAATCCCTCGACTCACCTCCCACTCTGCCAGTATCCTCCATGAACAAACACAAAGAAGATCGGGGCTGCAAGACAGAATGGACCGTCCGTTACATGGCCCAAGAGGGGTGCTGGCTGAACTCTGCTGTGGGACCCACTGCCCCCAGCACTCACCTTCCGAAACTCCATCAGGAAAGTAGATGTCGAGTTTCTCCCCGTCTCCATCACCATAGGGCACGTGCAGCAGGCTTCTCCGGGTGGCCCGGGCCTGAGTGGTAGCTGTCTCGGGAAACAGACGCTGGTCAGCACAACCTTAGCATGTCAGGGACCAGCCACAGGCTCCTCCCATGAGTGGACAGCGACCTCTATTCATTGCCGGATGGAAACGTTGCATGAAAGCTGCTTTGGCTGAAAGTCAGTGTCGGCTGTAAGTACCTCCCACGAAAGATGCTTCCTCAAGCTCTAACCATCATCAGTGCTGGCTTCCAAAACATTCCGTGGGCACGTGGTTACAACAGAACCACGCTGGTTCATAGGGCTCCAGTACCACCCGCTGATGTCTGCCAGGGAGCTAGCCATCCTGACACAGACCGCGTTCTATTGCATGCTTCTAGAGGGATACAGCCAGAATGCTCCTTAGAAGTGAGGAGGACGACGAGACTTCGGCTCACTTACTTTGGACATGGCATAAGACAAGACAAGTCTCTGGAAAGGGCCAATGAGGTGGATTAACAAGTTACAAGAGACTCAAATGTACCAATGTTCCTGAGGATGGTGCAAGACTGGTGTCTTCCTTCTGTGGTGCTGCTATCACAGAAATACCACAAGTGAGAGACTTTTACAAACGGAAGTTTATTTTCTCACAATTTAAGAGGCTAGAAGTCTGAGTTCAGGGTGCCAAGTCTAGGGGCAGGCTTTCTCTGTCAGCTGTGGAGACAGGTCCTCGGCTCTTCCAACCTCCTGCTCTTGGGTGATCTTTATGTGGTTTGGCACCTCTCTTCCCCCATCTCTACTTCTCATCTGTTTAAACTCTTTTATATCTCAGAAGAGACTGACTCAAGATATACCCTACACGAATCCTGCCTCACGAATGTGACAAAGACAACATATTCTCACAGGCAGAGAGCTGTGGATTTACAGCACATATTTTTTGGGAACACAATTCGACCCATAACACCGGGCAATGTTTCATTCTGTTACACATTACACACAAGGTCCCCATGAGTCAGTGCCGACTTGCAGCAACCCACAACGGTGTGCACCACACTGCTCCATGCCACGGGAAGACTAAAATTGGGCAAGTATTTGGAAAAATAACCCAGGGAAACAAAATATAAACTCAGTTGAAATAAAGAGAATGAAACTATATAATTGAGCACCTTGATGGGAGAGGTCAAGTGGTGTCAATGGGTCTGTGGAAAATCGGCCAGGATTTGGGTAGGGAGGAGCCAGGCAGAACCACCCCAATAAGGCAAAGATCTCAGGAAGAACAGTCACGTGCATTTTTTTGGTTTCCCAGTGGATGTAAAGTTATGTTTACACTATTAAGTGTGCAATGGCATTAGGAAAACATTTGAAATATTCTGAGAATGACCAAAATGTGACACAGACATGAAGTAAGCACATGCCGTTGGGAAAAAGGTGTCGAGAGACTCGCTTGACACTGGGTCGCCAGTAGCCTTCCATTTGTTCAAAGTGTAATATCTGCGAAGCGCAATAAAACGAGGCATGCTGCATTCCAGGGGAATAAATACCACAGGGAAAGGAACGGAGGTGGGAGGGGACTCAGTATGTTCACATTCCAGTAAGAAAGTGTCCCCTCCCAATTAAAAAGCGACGAAAGGACGTGGATGGACGTTTCTGTAAAGATATACAAGGGGCCGACAAGCACGTGAAAGCCAACAGCATCAGCCATCAAGGAGATGTAAGCCAGCCACAGGGAGCTACCACTCAGCCCACCAGGATGGCTGTTAAGAAAAAGTGCGGGCAAGGATGTGGAGATTCGAACCCTCAAGCATCGCTGGAGGAGAGCTGCAGTGGATTAGCTGCGGGGGGCAGTGTGGCCGACCCCCACGAGCAGACAGAACTGTCCTGTTGCTGGGGGCGTGCACGGAGTACAACGGCCCCAGGGGGTTTCCTGGCTGCCATCTTTACAGAAGCAGAAGGCAGGCCTTTCTTCCCTGCAGCGGCTGGGACCACTGAGCCACATGGCCCAGCAATTCCACTCCCAGGAACAGACACAAAAGAACTGAGAAGAGGGAGCCTGGGAGACCCAGGCCGGACTCCCAGCCACGCACCTTGGGAGCAGCCACCACATGTCCGTCAGTGAATTGCGTGCTGCCATGATGAGCGGGTTGCAGCGAAGCTTCCAGATTCAAACCGCCTCGGGAGAAAGGACGGGCGCTCTACTTCTGAGAATGAGCCCGTGAGACCCCATGGGTCATAACAGTCTGACCTCCTTGGGCATGGCGTCCCCATGAGTTGGGGGCTAGTGAGACGGCCGCCAACAACTTCCATCATCCCAGGGCGTCTGTCTTCCTCCCTGTGGGTCGCTGCTCTCTGTCTGTTCGCCCTTTTACAAGACACCACGCAGAAGGGCTTACGACTGGACCCAGCCTGCTCCTCACCCATCTAACTGACAACAAAAGGAAAACCCTGCGTCCAAACAATGTCACGTTCCCCGGAACAAAGGCAAGACCTCAACACATATTTCTGGGCCACAATTCAATCCATAGCAGGCAGCAAGTGGCATTTTGGAAAATGTCCTCACATGGGCCGAAGCCAGCACAGACACCACTGCAGGCCACGCACGGACCCCCGGGACAGGACGTGCTTTGCAGGATGGAATTCAGCCACTCAGCAGAAACAAGCTATTAAATAGGTCAGTTTTAATTTGTGACGTCAACAATAATCAGCAGTCAGTAGACTCTGTTATGTTATGTGCCGTTGAGTCGCCCCAACTCATAGCGACCCCTCCTTGGGTTTCCGAAGCAGTATCACTACGGAAGTAGGATTGCCCAACCTTCCTTCCGAGGAGTAGCTGGTGGGTTTGAACCGCCAGCCTTCTGGTTAGCAGTCAAGTGCCTTAGCCACTATGCTACCAGTAGACTCTAGGCAGGGTTAAAAGACAACTTTGAAGTTGGGTAGCACGTTGTTACTCTATCAGTCAGTGGTCTGATTGACGAAGCTTTTCACCGTGTTTATATATAATTTCATGAAGGACTCTGAACACAAAAATTCTGATTGGCTAACAATTATGTCAGAATACACAAAAGTTACCAAAGAGCAGTGTGTGCTCAAACATTACCAAGAAAACAGGCTTGCTCCAGCCATCATAAGATCAGTGAGCCACGACTGTAAGAGACCGGTCTCGGAAGCAGGACATGTTCATTGACCTTCAATTGTTTTCTGAAAGAACAAGTTCCAGCTGTTTCCCTGAGCCTGGTCCCCTAATACAACCCATGCAACCAGACAAGCCATTCCTCAGCTTAGCCACCAGTCACGACACAGCCACAAGCTTTCAAGGTGACACAATTACACAGCTCACAGGTTTCTGCCCTTCAACAAGATCACCTGCAGTGTCGTGGGCAAGTGAATTCTGTTTTCATAAAACAAAACTTAGTTTGATGTCACAATTAGAACCCCAGAATGTCTGTTAGAATTAAACAAGTATTTGCTTTGGCGGGCTTAATCAAACCAAATCAATTGCACAGTGATCGTGGTTTGATGTAAGAACAGAACTGCATTTCTCAAATGCTGTTACCGTACAATGGATCACGTCCAAGTGGCCTTTCGCACCATGGCCTTGTCACTTCCACCAAATGACTGCATGGGACTATGCCAATGACGTGCTTGTGGCCCGCCGAGGGGGTGGGATAGCTTGCTAACAATGCAAATAAGGTGTACGGCACTCTTGTGGGGGCGGGACCACACAAATAAGGTGGATGGAACCCTAATGGGGGACTGGTCAGTTTTGCCATCCCACTGGGCGTAAAACGAGCGCTTCCAGAGAGGAAGTGGGGGAGGGGAAAACACTACCAGCGAGACAGAAGCACTGCGAGTGGGGCACATCCTTTGGACCTGGGCTCCCTGCACTGAGAACCTCCTAGACCCAGGAGACTGAGAGAGAGCTGTGAGAGCGCAGACAGGGACAAACAGCGGCCGCAAGCCAGCAGGGCCAGGAGACTGCGCAGCGGGCTTCCCGGCCCACGGACTGCGAAAGCTAAGCCCCGGCTTGCTGGAGGAACAGTAAGACTGCGGGCACTTATCCCTGGGGCTAAAGAGCTCTGCAGCAGTTAGAAAGCAACCAAGCAGGGCAGAGGCCGGGCCAGACCCAGAGGCCTGGGCGGCCCACGCGGCCCAAGGCCAGAGAGGTGTGTCTGCAGGCTGAGAAGAGGCCGTCCTGACCAAAGAACTGCACGTATCCTGAGTCGTTCCTGATCCTGAACTGTAACCTGTTACTTCCCTCATAAGCCTCATAACTTATCGATCATTATCAATCCCAACAGAGAAGTGGAGAGAGCCCTGGGATGGACTACTGGCGTCAGAACTGGTCAAAACCGTTGGACGGTGGAGGCGATGGAGGCGTGGCTGACCTCCGCTTGTAGGAATCAGCCTCGGGCTGTTGGTGCTGACAATGACCCTCCTCCCCCTTGAGAAGTCAGAGGAGGAGGGTGACAAGGCTGCCACCAGCCAGTTCCTGTCGTTACTTGCTGTTAGGTGGCTGTGACTCATAGCCACCCCATGCACGTCAGAACGAAACCCGGCCCGGCCCCGCGCCATGCCCCAGTCCTGCCTCGAGCCCATCGTCCCAGGCACTCCGTGATCCACCTTGGCGAGGGTCTTCCTCAGTTCCACGGACCCTCTGTTTGACCAAGTGTGATACCCTTCTCCAGGGACTGGTATCTTATGACAGCATGACCCAAGTACAAGAGACAAGTCTGACTGTTCTCGCTTCCAAGGAACATTCTGGCTGTACTTCTTCCAAGACAGACTGGTTCGTTCTGGCAGTCTGAGGGATGCGCAATATTCTTCACCATAACTCAAAGGCATCAACTCTTCTTCGATATCCCCCGTATTCACTGTCCAGCTTTCACATGCATAAGAGGTGACTGAAAAGACCATAGCTTGGTCAGGCGCACCTTAGTCTTCAAAGTGACATCTTTGCTCTTAAACACTTTAAAGAGACTTTTGCACCAAATTTGCCATTTTTACAGGAGTTTAAGTGTTTAGAGGATTTAATCGGTGAAAATTATGAGCTGCGTGTTAATTAAAAATAT